ACGAAGACGAAGACGAAGACGACGACGAAGACGAAGACGAAGACGAAGACGAAGACGAAGACGAAGACGAAGACGAAGACGAAGACGAAGACGAAGACGAAGACGAAGACGAAGACGAAGACGAAGACGAAAACGAAGACGAAGACGAAGACGAAGACGAAGACGAAGACGAAGACGAAGACGAAGACGAAGAAGAAGAAGAAGAAGAAGAAGAATAAGCAGAAGAAGAAGAAGAAGAAGAAGAAGAGGAGGAGGAGGAGGAGGAGGAGGGGGAGGATCAGTTGAGCGGAAGATCGGGACAAATCGGAACCAGAGATTCTGGGAGAGTTCCAGAGAAAAATAGAACGCCGATTTGTGGAGCGCAGCGCGCGCATCCGCAGAAGTTCCCAAAGAGTGTTCGAGGGCTTGAGGAGCCCAAGTAACACATGGGCGCTCAATTAAACGGTTGAGGGCGGGCAGAAAATCTGGATTGCACGAGCATTGTGAGCGGGTGCGCGGCTTGCACGGGGGGCACAGTAGGTTTGCGTTTCAGGGACTTGGGCGCTGGCCAATTCGCTGATGGGGGGCCCGAGAATGCGCCACACATATTACGTTTGTGGCGCCATGGGGGCCGCATTTGCGGTTGCAGTTGGGCGGGCGCCCCGCCGCGCGCACCGTGGCGACAGCTCTCTTGGGCGCCCGCCCGCCGCCGTGGACGTAGTGGACCCAGCTAGTCTCTCGGTCGGCGCGCGGCGGGTCGGCAGCCACGACGCTGGCGGCTTGAAAATGCTTCGAAAGTGTTTCTCCCCGAGCCCGGGGCTATTGTACGTTTCCGGTGGCACGCGCAGCTCGGAGAAAAATCGCCTTGTCCGTCGGCGGCCAGTTGGCTGTCGTCGCGCAGAAGTACCGGCGGATGGCGCGGTCCACGCTCAGCGCAGAGAGCGTGTCCATGAGCGTGCACTCGTCGAGGGGCAGGAGGAAGGACCTCGCGGTCGGGACCATCGCGGCCCGCGATGTCCACGGCCCCCACCCTGGGCGCGCGAGGACCTGCTGGGCGCCGCCGCAGCGCGATTTCAGAGGATCTCGGAACCAGAAATCCGGGCGCGCCAAATTTCGCGGGCCGAAAAACTCTCAGAGAGTTTCGGCCAGCTCCGAGGTTTTGGGTTTATGGGAATGTTTCACGCGGGGTGGCTAGTTCAGAGATTTGCAGAGATTCTCAGAGAATTTCGGCCGCGAGAATTTGGCGCGCCCCGGTTTCTGGTTCTGTGAATTTCTGAAAAGCGGTTCCTTAGGTTTTACCGGGTCTCCAGGCGTCTTCTGTCAGCCAGAGACGAGCGACTGGCTGGCGCCGCGCCCGATGCTTCCGGAGTTGCGAACTCGGTCTTCGATTCCCTGGGGCCCGCGGGCCCCTGGGCCAATTGCGAGGTTGCCGAGGCCCCCAGGCGGTTGCGCGCGATTGTCTCGGAAACCGGAGTTGGGCATCCATGGTGGACGCCCGCGCGCACGCGCTAGGTGTCCGCGAGATTGTTCGGTGGCGGATTTTGCATGGCGCGGGGATTTTCCAAAGACTTTCCGGGGTGTTCTCTACGGTTATTTCGGCGCGCTTCGGGAACCTTGGGGCGGCGCGGGGGAGTCGCCTGGCCGGTCGCGTGACTTTTTTTTCAATGCCTTCTTGGGCATTATCGCGGTGTTGCTTGGCCGAAGAGGTCACTGAGCAACGCGATTTTTGACATTTTCGTGTTTTTTCGTTGCGTTGGTTGCGTGATTGTTTTGGCGGTCCGCCTCCTTGGGGCCCCCTTTGGGCCTCAAGTTTGTTTTGTTGACGTCGGGCCTTCTGGAGTGAAAGGCGCTTGGCGCTGAATTCCCTCGGTCGCGCGCGTGGCCAAATACGCGCCGCGGTTCATCCGCGCCGGGGCGCTTTTCTTCCCTCGCGAAGCCGATGGCACCCAAGGCGCGGCAGGCCCGTTCGGCGGCGCCCCCGGTGATTTGAAAAACCGAGCATGATTTTTATCCCGGTCAAATTTTGCCCCGATCCCGGCTTCATCTTAGAGGAGGAGGAGGAGGAGGAGGAGGAGGAGGAGGAGGAGGAGGAGGAGGAGGAGGAGGAGGAGGAGGAGGAGGGGGAGGCGACGCCCCTGAAGCTCACGTTGCGACCGAGGGCGGCGCACGGACCTGCTCGCGGCGCCAGGAGGATCGCCGCGAAGCCAACGGGTCCTGCGTGTCTTGTCGCCGCTTTCGGGCCCCCCGCGGCCCTCCACGGACACCGCGCGAGCGTCGAGGAACGGCACGGGGCGAACAGGGCTGGTCGTGGGGGAAAGCCCCGGGGTCCAGGACCCGTTCCCCGAAGGACCCTATTGCTCTCTGCCGAGGGGAGGCGTGTGTGTGTGTTTGTGTGTGTGTGCGTGTGTGTGTGTGTGTGTGTGTGTGTGTGTGTGTGTGGAAGTTTCCGATTCCTTCAAAGTTTTTCGAAGGTTTCACGCGTTTGTCTTGCAGTGTCTTGGGGTCCTGGGGGTTTCCCGATCGACTCCGGGTGCGGTCGGGAAGGTGCTTGGGGGTTTACAGGAGCAGAAAAGGAGGAGCAGGCGGAGGATACATGAGTGCATCTTTAGCTAGAGTGGCACGGACACTTGGAAGAGACGAGCACCGATGATCCCGTCGCTCGCTCCCATCCTTGTCATCTTCGTTTCCTTCTCAGCCTCGTGGGCAGCCACTATTCCCCAAGTTGGCTTAGCCTACAGGATTAGACTTCTCAGTGCAAAAAGCTGGTGGGTGCGGGGCCCTTCGTCGCAGGCGGCCCCTGTCCTTCCTCGCGGGACCCTTCGTCAGAGGCGCTCCCCAGCGTTGCTCGGGGTGGCTCCGGGCAAGCAACGCAAGCCAATGCCAAGCAACGTCAGGCAGTGCCAAGCAATGCCAAGCAACACGAAGAAATGCAAAGCAATGCCATTCAACGATATCAAGCAATGCCAAGTAATACCAGGCAAAACCGAGCAACGCGAAGCAATACAAAGCGATGCAAGTCCATGCCGAGCAGTGGCAGGAAACGAGCACAGTAAATGCCAAGCAGTGTTTGGCATTCCGTTGGTTCGCGTTGCTCAGAACTCGTTTGCATTCCTTCTGGACAGCGGACTCCTGACTTTGGATGCGTTGGGCCCAGTTTGAGTGCTACCCTCTTCTCTCCTCTCACACCTTGCTGCCATGCACCGCCCTTCCACGCTTCGGTCATCAAGCACAGGAATTCACAGCCTGGTCTTCGGCACATGTTTTTTGTTCAAATCTGGTTCTGTTCTTCAACATGGTGCTCTCTCTGCGGCGTCGGTCACATGTCGGGATCGGTGCATTGTTTCCGTGGTCTGGACTGCGCTCTCACCCGAGCTCGGGCCATTTCCGATTCTTGCTCGTTGCCGACCCCTTTCGTGTACCTTTTTCCGCCTTTCCCCGTTGGATCTTCCTCCTCGTCGTCCTCCGCCTTTTTCTCCTCTCTCTCCAGTGTATAAGTTTCAAACACACCTCGCCCCACGCCGATAGTACAGCGAACGAGGGCTACGACTGCCACATTTGGCATACGGTCCGGATCACGATAATTGTCAAGAAAGGCCGGACGGACTATCGCTCGAACACAGGCCAGTCAGTTTGTTCTTGATCGGTCATACAATATGTGCCTCACTGCTACGAAAGCGTCTCCTGCAAGGGGGTACAGAGGCAAGATTCGAGCACGCCATTTGGACTCCGATCTCTGTACGGCACCCAAGATGCAATCTTTTTTTTGTCTTGCGGAGACAAATATAGAGATTGCGCACGCTGCGAAGTTTGGAAGACTACACATATTGGCATTGACTTTAGAAAAGCAGTCGCTTCGATCGACCCAGCGGCAATGCTGCACGGACTCCGCCGGCTCAGGTTTCCAGACCACGGTCTTTCCATGACCGGGGCGATATACCACTACAGACGGTTTCAAATCAACGAACGTGGAACAATTGCCTCGCCGAGATCCCCAGCTGCTGGCATCTCCCAAAGGTGGCGGCTGTCACTTGTTCGTCATGATCACGACCGTCATCATCCAAGATGCACGAGACGCATTTCCACAAGCAGATCGCGCAGTTTGGGAAGATGGTGGGTTCATTGCATTGTTGTGTGCGGACGATACGCTTCTCATGAGCAGATGCGCAGGGAGCGTTTCAACATTATTCGAAGCGGCTGCACGAACAGGATGTCGTACTTACGGCATGTGCCTCCATGATGACAAGTTGCAGTTCCTGGGCAATGGGTCCACCGCCGAGATTCAGCATTCCAGCGGTTCTGTCATCGAGCCGCAAGCAGACTTGGCTGGTGTATTTGGGGGCTTATTTTATGAAGATGGGCGCCCATTCCGGGAACTGACGAGGAAGACTGTGACAGCGCGTGTTGTTCCCCCGGCGTTTTCAAAAGTGCGGGCTGGCCCGTTAACGGTT